TATGTTTCTTAACTCCTTCTAGAATGCAACAACTCATATATTTGCTGGTGGTTTTTTTCTTCTTGGAGCCAGAGTCTTAACCCTTGTCACCCAGGCTGGAGTGTGATGGCTTGATCTTGGCTCACTGCAACCTCTGATTTCTGGGCTCAAGTGATTCTCCTGCCTCAGCCTCCTGAGCAGCTGGGAGTACAGGTGCCCACCCCCTTGCTGGGCTAAATTTGTATTTTTAGTAGAGACAGGGTTTCACCATGTTGGCCAAGCTGGTCTTAAACTCCTGACCTCAGGTTATCCACCCACCTCAGCCTCTCAAACTGATGAGATTACAGTATGAGCCACTGAGTCCAGTAACATTTGCTCTTTTGATACTATTTTGTAACTCCAATAAGCTTTCTTTATTCCTTTTCATTCTGTTTTCATATCAGACTATATGTTTGCAAGTAACCTCTTTTCAAGTTCACATATATTTTTCTTTTGTTTGACAAACTCTGCTGTTGATGTCTCCATTGCATTTTTCATTATTTTCATTTTATTTTTCAGCTTCAATATTTCTGGCTTAATAACATTATTTCATATCTGTTGAATTTATCTAATAGATTTCTGAATTGTTTCTCTGTATTTTATTGATGTTTATTGCTTTAGTCCATTTTCATACTACTATAAAGAACTGCTGGAGACTGGGCAATTTATAGAGGAAAGAGTTTTAATTGACTCCCAGTTCTGCATGGTGGGGCAGGGGGGCTTAGAAAACTTACAATTATGGCAGAATGTGAAGGGGAAGCAAGGCACCTTATTCATAAAACAGAAGGAAGGAGAATGAACTCAGGAGGAACTACTAAACACTTACAATATAATCAAATCTCATGAGAACTCACTATCATGAGAACAACATGGGGAAAACCCCCATCATGATTCAATTGCCTCCACCTGGTCTCTCCCTTGGCATGTGGAGATTATGAGGATTACAATTCAACATGAAATTTTAGGTAGGTACACAGCTAAACTGTATCATTTCACTCTGGCTCCTCCCAAATCTTATGTCCTCACTTTCAAAATACAATCATGCCCTTCCATCAGTCCCTCAGAGTCTTAACTAATTCCAGCATTAACCTAAGAGCTCAAGTCCAAAGTTATTTACTTCCTAGATACAAGGAGGGTACATGCAATGGGCAAATACAACCATTCCAAATGGGAGACATTGGCCAAAATGAAGGGGCTACAGTCCCCATGCAAATCCTAAATCCAGTGAAGCAGTCAAATCTTAAACTCTGAAATAATCTTTGACTCCATGCCTTATATCCAGGTCATGCTGATTCAAGAGCTGGGCTCCCACAGCCTTGGGCTGCTCACCCCTGTAGTTTTGCAGGGTATCGCTCCCCTCCTGACTGCTTTCATGAACTGGCATTGAGTGTCTTCTGCCTTTCCAGGTGCATGCTGCAAACTGGATCACCATTCTGGGATCTGGAGGACAGTGGCCCTCTTCTCACAGCTCCAGTAGGTAGTGCCCCAGTGGGGACTCTGTGTGAGGGCTCCCAACCCACATTTTCCTTCTGCACTTCCCTAGCAGTGGTTCTCCATGAGAGCTTTGCCCTTGCAGCAAACCTCTGTCTGGACATCCAGGCATTTCCATACATCCTCTGAAATATAGGCAGAACTTCCCAAACCTTAATTCTTGCCTTTTGTGTGCCACAGGTCCAACACTATGTGTAAACCACAAAAAATTGGGGCTTGCAACCTCTGAATCAATGGACTGAGCTATACATTGGCCCATTTTAGCCACAGCTGGGACACAGGACACCAAGTTCTGAGACTGCACAAAGCATCAAGTTCCTGGACCTGGCCCAGGAAACCATTTTTACCTCCCATGCCTCCAGGCCTGTGATGGGAAGGGTTGTCATGAAGACCTCTTACATGCCCTGGAGACATTTTCCCTATTGTCTTGGTGACTAACATTTGGTTCCTCATTACTTACACAAATTTCTGCAACTGGACTTTTAAACATAAGTTTCAATTCCAAACCACTTCTTTGTGAATGCATAAAACTGAACACTTCTAAGAGCCCTTGGGTTACATCTGAAATTCTTTCCTGCTTAGAAATTTTGTCTGCCTAAATCATCTCTCTCAAATTCAAAGTTCCACAGATTTCTAGAGTAGAAGCAAAATGCCACCAGTCTCTGCTAAAACATAGCAAGAGTCACCTTTGCTCTAGTTCCCAAGAAGTTTCTCATCTTCATCTGAGACCACTTCAGCCTGGACTTCACAGCCCATATTACTATCAGCATTTTGGTTAAAGCAAATCAGCAAGTCTCTAGGGAGTTCCAAACTTTCCCACATCTTTCTACCTTCTTCTGAGTCCTCCAAACTTTTTCAATCTCTGCCTGTTACCCAGTTCCAAAGTCACTTCCACATTTTGGGGTATCTTTATGGCAGTACCCCAGTCTACCAGTACCAATTTACTGTATTAGTCAGTTTTCATATTATTATAAAGAACTGCCCTAGGCTGGGTAATTTATACAAGAAAGAGGTTTAACTAAATCACAGTTCAGCATGCCTGAGGAGGCCTTAGGAAACTTACAATCATGGTAGAAGGCTAAAAGGAAGCAAGGCACCCTCTTCACAAGGAAGTAGGAAGGAGAACGAAATGCAGGAGGAGCTATCAAACATTTATAAAACCAAAATCAGATCTCATGAGAACTCACTCACTATTATGAGAACAGCATGGAGAAAACTACCCCCAATGATCCAATTGCCTCCACCTTGTCTCTTCCTTGACATGTGGGGCTTATGGGGATTACAATTCAAGATGAGATTTTGGGTGGAGATGCATACAAACCATATTATTCACTAGGCTTACTTAAAAAAAAAAAACTATATAAAATTTTTTGTCAGGCAGGTCATACATCTTTATCTCATTAGAGTCAGTCACTGGCACTTTATTTTGTCCATTTGGTAAGTCCTATTTTCCTGATTGCTTTTGATCCTTGTGGTCATGAGCTGATGTCTACACAATAAAGAACTATAAATTTATTCCAGATTGCACAGTCTGGCTTTGTCTGGGAAATTTCTTCAACAGTAAGCCTGTCCAGAAATTCTAGGTAGGTCGCCTGTTACATTTTCTAAGATAGTGATTGCTGCAGCTATTGCAACACCAGGAACACTTTAAGCCCAGGACCATGACAGATGGTACTGTGCCAGGGTGTAATCCCTTGGCCATTAAGGCTGGCACAGTGCTGAGGTGAAATCTGAACCCCCAGCCACTCAGTCCTGCCTGCCACTGTGGGCTATTTGGAGCCCATAGCTTCTATAGTTAGTTGGTCAGTGGTGATGCAAACCAGAAATTGAATTTGGCAAGAACTACAGGTTTCTGTCTCGCCCTGAGGCAGGTTCGAAAACTCAGTCTGCAGTTATCAGCAGACATGAGGGGTTGTAGTAGTCTGTCTAGTGCTGCATTTTACTGGGGCAGGCCTGGTAGTGTGTTCCAATGCAAAGTCTTGTGCTTACATCCCTCTCTTTTCCCCAAGTAGATGGTATTTCTCTCTGAGCTGTGTAATTTGTGGTTGGGAGATGGGTGACTTGAGGAATGTAAAACTGCACCTCTTACCCACTTCAATGACTATTTTCTTATTATTATTTTATAACTAGATATGGTGAACTCTCACCTGGTTTCCTTAGCTCCTGTGGAGGCATTTTTGTGTGTAGATGGTAGTTCAAATTGATGTTTTCCTGCAAGGGGTGATCACTGGAGAGTCCTATTTCACCATCTTCCTCCACCCTCTGTCCCTTGAAATCATTTTTACAAGTAAAAGAAGTCACTCACAAAAGGCCACATATTCTATAATCCTATTTGTCTGAAACATCTATAGTAGAGAAATCTACATAGACAGAAAGGAGATTAGTGGTTGTCAGGGGCGGGGTGGAAAGGTAAATGGAGGAGGACTGCTAATGGGTAATGGGTTTATTTTGGGGTTGAAGAGAATGTTCTGAAATTAGTGGTTATCATTACATGAGCTTGTGATAATACTAAGAATCACTGAATTTTATGCTTTAAAGGATGAGTTTATAGTATATGAATTATATCTCAAATTTTTTAAAAGCAGGAGGAAATTGCTTGAAAAAAAAATCCCACCAATCTTAGTTAATAATGATATATGAAATCTTATAAGGAAGCAAGAAGTGAGAAAAACTATAAGGGAAAGCAGAAAAATGGAGAACACATAAGAATATAGGCCAGTTCGGCAGTGACAAAATGTAGGTGGCTTATCCATGCAGGGCCAGCTCTGCCAATTTTTCTCTCACCAAATATCCCCGACATAGCATAGACCACAAAATGGGGCCTCAGCCTCCCTTAGCACAAGATGGATCATCTCCTATTTTATCAGTAAAATAATCTCTGTACCTCTGTGAAGTTCCTAATTATGAAACTGTGCCATGAGAAAAAGATTAAATTATATAAAAATGTGGAAGTATCTTTAAAATATTTCTTCTATCAAAGAGTTGTTTTAAAAAATGTTTTTAAACTTTAATTACTGAGAAACTTTACTTATGCAGAAGAACTCATTCTCAGAGGATGTTGTATGAATGAATTGCTATGTATTTCCTTTATTTTCCTTAGTTTTTCTATGTCCTTCGAATGTTGACTTGCTTTCCTCAGCTTCTTTTCCTTCCTCCCATACATAAATAGTATTTCTTACTATTTATTCAGGAGTCATAGTGAATTATGAAGATAAATTAAATACATGCAACAGCAAGTCTTCCTTTAGAGTTAATATACATCTAGAATATAAAAAATATATAATATTTTTCTAAAAATCAGATTAATGACTTTTGTTGTTTTTTTTTTAAAAAATCACAGTATTTAAATTCTTGATATGTCCTTAAAATTCAAATGTAAAACAGCACCTACTTAAAATTTGCCTCTGAGTATCAATTTGGATGATAAACCTACAACTAAAATGACTTTTCAAAATTATGGCTAATAATTTTATTTCATTTTAATTATGCAGGAAATACCATACACATTTATTACAGTTTGATGGTGAAGGAGGTTGGCGCTTTGAACAATTGGATACTGCTATCCGTTTGACATTGAGTGAAGAAAAGCAAAAGCTAGAATCTCAGCTAGCTGGAATTCCCAAAATGCAGCAGAGACTCAATGAACTATGTAAAATTTTGGGAGAAGACTCTGTGCTGAAAACAATTAAAAATGAAGATGAGACATCTTAATTTGTTTTGACACATTTTAAAAGTTAATTATTAGATAAAGCCTCAAAGACACTGTTATATTGCATGAAGTATGTTAAGCTAAGCACAGATTAAAAAAAAAAAGGCAGCAAGACATTTTATAAGATTTTAGCATTAAGGAAGTATATGATCTGACTTTTCAGAAGAAAAATAAACAAATGTATTATGTAAGATCAGTCATTATGACTTATACTAATTCCTAGTGAAGGCCTAAAACACTTGTAAAGCAGGATTTTCTAGGTGAATTCATGATGAATACCAGATTTACTATGTATATGTGATGTGTCTGAAGTTCTTAACAAACATGGGAGATATTCTGGAAAAGAAAAAAGTTTAGAGCAGCATTTGGGTTGATATCAAGTGCATAAAATTAGAACTTTGAGTAACATTTAGTCCATTTATGGTTATTAGGTTTAATAGCAAGAATTCATATTGATCATTGCTAGTGGCCAACTAAACAAAATAGCTGACAGTTTGATAAATAATTTCAATATAAAAATTGTTTTAATGGCAGTGGTTCAAAGAAAAAAGCATGGCTAAAATGTATACAATGCCATATTTAAAAATTTTAGACTTTAAACATCTTAATGAGGACATATAACAAATTAATTTTAGTAGGAATCCGAAATACTTTTTAATAAGCCCTTTCATTTTAAAAAGAGAATTGCCAATACAGAAAAGGAGTATCCAAACAATGTTTGTCTCAGCCTGATAATTTACTTGATAGAATTATCTATTGTAACTTCTGTTCAGAAATACACAGCTTGTTTTTGTTTTTGTTTTTGTTTTTGTTTTGCCCAAGGATGAGATTCCCACATTTTAAGAATTGCAGTGATATAACAGAATTTAAGGATTCTGAGAATCACAGTAATCATATACATTGGAATAGTACTTTATAATTTACAATCCCCATTTACATCATTTCATTTTAATTCTTGTGGCAATGTTTTAAGACAGGTATTCTTTTTCCTACTTGGCTTTTGAGAAAATTGACACTCAGACTTGCCCCAATCGTGCAATTTAATTAAGGAAAGATCCAGAACTCAAATGAAGTTTTCTTTACTCCCTGGTTTGGTACTCTTTGTTATTATCCTTTAAATCAATCTAGGCTATAATAGCAATAAAAATTAGATGAGGTGTTGAAAATAAAATAAATTTCTTATGGTAGTCTTGTTGCTATTTGTTTATTGTTTACAAGAAATAAAAATTAAGTACAAAGTGCAAAGATCATTGTTCTGTGGTTTAAAATGAACCAAGAAAGTTAGCAAATCATTCAGCAACTATGCAGTCTTACTCAATATGAACATACCTCCAAGGCATCAGCAATCAGAAGGGCAAATAATTATGGTTTTGGTAAATTTAATATTTATTAAACATAATGAGAAATAATCTGCATGGACTAGTCATATGAAATAGATCTTATTCTATTTGTGTGCATTGGATTTGGAAGTACAAAAGCTAAGATTGAAACTTCAATCTCTTTCTGCCTATGACACCACTTTGATAGGCCAAAAGAATATTGGAATGATCAGTTGTTAGCGGCCTAGAATTTTATTGCCTGTTGAGACACAGCCATAATAGATGTTAACTCTGATTCTTAGCCCTTCTCAGGTGATAGAGTACCTGGAAGTCATTCATAATGGTCATTATAGAACATCATAACATTTCCACATTTTCAATTCTACCGTGATAACAAGTGCACTTTTAATTGTTAATAAATGTAACCAACTTACATGAAGGAATGCAATATAAAATTATAATCAGTACATTTGTCCAACATTTTCTGTTAATATCAACTTACTTATTCATCAGTTACCAATATTTCCTGCTAGAAAAGTGAGGCAGGTTTTAAAAATTTTTTTAAGAAGCATGGAACCAAAACTTAACCTTGCTAAAAATTATTCATTAATCTTTTCTACAAAAGTAGTTATCCAGTTTATACTGCTGTAAGGGGAAAAGTCTGAGGCAAGTGTCTTAAGTTAACTGTTAAAGGTATAAGAAGAAAATGAAAAATCCTCATGTGAAAGATGTGTATAATTTTCATGCCTTAATTTTCATAATATAAAAATAAAACATACTTTTTAAAAACCTAATATTTTGTGTTTTGAAAAGTTGAAAAGAATGCCAAAACAAATATTAGATTTGTAATTAGTCATTATTTAATATATTTTATCAATGAACTAAAGAAAAAAAGACTCATTATTTATAATGTACAGGATTCAAAGATGTCTAAAATTCTGCATTAAAAACTATATACACTGTAATTTAAATGTTAAAGTTATAATACGAACATGTTTTCCATGAGCTTTTTGTGCCTATTTGTTTTCTAAATTTATTTTTCAGGACCTTAACTTGGAGGGGAAAACATCTCTGCTTTGAACTTGTATTTATATACCATTGAGTTGTTTCCAAATGATCCAATGGATATATCATATTTTACTATTCTTATAGTTATATTTTGTGAAAAACATGAAAAATGCTGAGAAACTAGCCATTTTTGAATATAGCAAGAAATAGATGAGGAAAGGAAAATGGAATGTTTTAAGTTTCAAACTGCTTTTACCATGTTGTACCTATTTGCCCAAACATTTGATATTTTTGGTCAGAAAATAATTGCTGTAAGTTTATGGAGCTTGATAATAAAATGTGTATTCTTTATGTTAACTCCTAAACTTGGAAAATAAGTTGCATTCTATGAAAATGTTGCATTATATTTCTACAGCATGTAATGTGATGCCAAGCATGAGTCTAAAATAGTATGTGTTCTTGTAAGCAGGATGATAAATAATAATCCCTAGCAAATAATATCAAGAAGAATGATATACCTTAAAACTAAAGTTTACATTTATTTACAGTGGGATGGTTTTCTCTTGATAGAAATATGGTTTTTGTCTCAAATTTTGGAATGTCAGTACAGGCATGAATGAATATGTTAGTTTTTATTTGAGACATTGGTTCCAAGTATAATTTCATATTTGGCAACAGACTCAGCCTATTACAATCTGTTTGGAATAGTTTTTGATTCAGTAAGTCAAGAAAAATCTGTTACACACTGAAACCCAAATCCAGAGAATGTTACACACTTCTGATATATGCATAAAATGATGGTAAATATATTAAATCATTGTTTTCAAAAGATGATTTTGATACAATTACTTTATGGGCAAAATTGTCCTAATTTAGAAGTGAAAGGTACTTTCATATAACCTAGACTATTTACAGTTCTGATGACATAGATTTAGATATGTTGAATATGTTTTGGAATTGAACTTCTAACATTTGCCACATGAGTGCTTTCAGGTGGATGTATAAAATATTTTTATTAAAAAACAATTCCTTCTTGTTATGCTTTTCCTGATTACCAAGTTCAGGGCTGCTTTACATTTTATATTGTGAAATTTTCAAAACCAATTGTCTATTTATAAACCAGATTTGTATTCATGAAAATGAATGAGAAAAATGTCCTTAATCGTAAAAATCGTTATGTAGCTAAATGAGACTGTGGCTGTGTGTGAGTACATTATAATATAATTTCCATCCAATGTGTATTTACTTGAGTTCATGATTCCTTATGAATTTCTTAACCATCAAGAAAAAGACTAGATTAATCGAAGGAATTACAAATTATTCCATTGGTAGAAAATACCTTATTTCTATACTTTAAATGGCCATAAGTATACCTTACTTATACATTGTATTGTATATAACCATGTCTAGAACTGTAGACAATAGCCACCAAATAATTATTTAAATATTTATTTTCTTATTAATACAACACATTTATCAAGTATCTACCTATGCCAGGCAGTGTGCTAAGTTCTATTACTAAATAAAATGTGGTCCCTGTTCAAAGATGCTTATGACCATTGAAAATTAGGAAAGCAAATGCCCTCAGTCAGACAAAAAGTCAATCGATGTATTTATTATTAATATTTACCAAGTAGGGACAAAGCATTGCATATACAGACTCACTAAATCTTCACAAAAAGGCAATATAGTAAAAGAGGAAAATGAAGAGAGAAAGGTTAAGCAATTCATTCAACCTCATCCAATAGCCAGACTATACAGCTAAAATTTGAAATGAGAAATATTTGATTATAAAGCCTATGCAACTCCACATATCCTTCCTTTTAATTATTTTAGGTCATTTTTCATTATTACTATTTTTAACATAAATATTAGTATAATTTTTACTGACTCAAGGTTTCTGGTTAATCAAACATGCATTTTTCATCTAAAATGGAATTTATGTAACACATTATATTTGTATTGTTTTTATTATAAATTATGGGTGTAGTCCTCTGGGAAAGGGAGAACATAAGGCAAATTTTCAAAAGTTTTGAGACCCTGGTTGTCATTATTCATTCACTCATTTGGTAAATACTTTTTGATACTTTCAGACACCAGTTACTGTGCTAGGACTCAGAGATTAACAAGACAGTCCTTGACGGAGCCCTCATGAAACACTTTAGTATATTGATATTAAACAAATATATGCCTGTTAGATGTTGTGGCTCCATACAAACGACTTACTTGTTTTGTAATATCTTCTTAGCTCTTGTATTTTCTACCTAAGACAATTCTGTTGCAATTTAAGTAATAAGTGTATTCTGGCAGCAGGATTCTCCTGATCATATACTTTTGGGCTTCACAGTCCTCATGATCCTCAACTTGGGCTATTGCAAGTTCTAGTAAAACCAGTCTATAGGACTATATCATCCTTCACCAGTAGATGGTCCCATATATTTAGCATGTTGTCTTGAAACCTAAGAAATAGTTTCTCAAGTTCAGATCATGTAAAATGAGCCAGTTTTATTCAAAAGTAATTCTCTTATGTTACCACAAAACGCAGATAAACAGCAGGATAGCTCTAAAAAGCAAAATGAATATAAACAATTATAGTTGTATAGTAAATAAGAATTCCAAAGTTAAACATATTTAAGTTATGTAACTGGTCTCAGTACTTATGACCTGACATAAATAACCAAGAGATTAAGTATTCACCTGTGAGTTTTTATGTGATTTAATATTATACCTAAAAATGGATTATGTATTCATGAGGCAATGAAATATTGATAAAACATGAAATAACATTAACTTGGCAATATCATTAAATTTTAGTCAGTTTAATTCATATAAATAAGGCATAAATTTATATATGAAGTATATTTAATTTTTATTTATTAAATTTGATTAAAATGCATTGGACCTACAAATGTATAAAACTAAAGAATTGTCTGAGGACTCACCTGGGAAGGTGCAAAAGTCATCCTATAGTCAGGTGACATCTTATTGGAAAACTAATACAATGAGACCTTTTTCAACATGCAGATGCTGATATTTCCAGAGTGACAAAGACTGATGAAGCAATTGTTAAAGTCCCTTTGTTCAGGCTAGCTCATTGTTTATATGAGACAAGTTTTCAAGACTCACATAGGTAGGGTATAGGTAAGTGTGGTTAATGTAGATCCAAGCAGATACAGATGCTCTTTGACTTAAGATGGGTTTACCTTTTGATAAACACATAGTGAGTTGAAAATATCGTAAATTGAAAGTACACTTAATATACCAAACATCATAGCTTAATCTAGCCTACCTTAAATGTGCTTAGTTACATTAAAGTAGCCTACAGTTGGGCAAAATCATGTAGCAGCACAGTGCACTGTAGAGTATTAGTTGTTTACCTTCTGATCAGTGGCTGACTGGGAACTGAGGTTCACTGATGCTGCCTAGCAGTGCAAGAGAGTATCATATTGCATATCTCTAGCCCAGGAAAAGATCAAAGTTCAAAACTGGAAACTGGAAGTACAATTTCTACTGGATTCATATCACTTTCACACAATGGTAAAGTTGAAAAATCATAAGTCAATCATAGGGACCTTCAATACATAATATTTTACTGTAACTTAACACACATGCACACACACACATGCACATACACACACACACACACAGAACCCCCTAGAAGTTTATTACAAAGCAGCATAAATATTTTGAGGACTTAAGTTACTGAATTCTTTTTTATTTTGGTAAAAACCACATAACATAAAATTTACCATCTTTAACATGTTTATGTGTACAGTTCAATAACATTAAGTATATTCATACTGTTGTGAAGCAGATGTTTAGAACTTTCCCTTGCAGATCTGAAACCCTATATCC